CCCCCCCCTCCCATAGGCTCATGCCGTGGCCGCAAACGAGGGGATGCGAGCGATGCGAGCAAAGTGAGAGGGGGAGAGAGAGTCGAGGCATATGGGCTTTGTTGCACAGCTAGAGCAAAGGAGCAATTGACGGCGTTATTCGTCGGGGGGGCCGCGCCCCACGCGCGCCCGCCACTGCCGCCGACGTGAGCGGGATCAGTGGCTGGAGGGGGCGCAGGCGTGCAAGCACCAACCTAGCAAGGTTGTGTGCGTGGGTTTGGGTGGTGGTGGGTGGCCGGCTGGCCGCAGCACGCGCCGCGTCTTTTTTTGCTGTTGCTGTCAGGGCACATCGCATCAACGGCAGGGCTCCAACTTCAGAGTGGAAGGGATCTGCCCTTTTTATCGTCGATCAGGGCAAAGACAGCTTTCTAATGATATAAACATGGGTTTCGCTGCTACGATTGCTGTTTTGTCGTCGTTGTTCGGGGCTTGACTGCGTATCCCCGTACCATGTTCTTCTGCTTCTTCTTTTTTCTTGTGTCTGCCGTTTCAAAGGGGACTAGAGCAAATAGGGAAATTGGGGCGGTGTGGGCAGGGCGATGAAGTTTGGGTCATCGAGTTTTGATCAAAGAGGGCTGGATGGGCAATCGGGGCGTGTTTGACGTGGCGCTCGTGCAGAGGAAAGAGCGGCGCCTGCTGATGTGTGATTCAGCTATGGGATAGCAGTTGGTGCTGAGCTGTCGAAGAGCTACTAAACTTGGGGGCATGGGTACATTAACGTGTGGCCCAAAAGACACCGACTGCATTGAAACGCGAGATTGATACGGAAGGAGACAATTGTGTGACGGCTTTCATTTCGCAAACGGTGGCCGTTCATGCATGCGGGTTCAAGGTCCGATGGACTTGGACCGTAACAACCAGCACGACCGACATTACGAATGGGAATGTAAGGCGATATGATACATGCCCCCCCGGGTCTCAATCTCCCAAACGGTCTGGCCCTTGGCGAGGGCAGCGCGCGTAGCTCAGAGCACATGACGCAGGCTTGCCGCCAGTCAGCTGCCAGAGGGAGAAAAAAGTACATTTCCTGGCCAGAGTCTTGACGTAGACCTGTGTAACTGTGCACGCTGCAACTTTGGCCGACGAGGCAGGTGATGAGCACAGTATGTGCGATCTGGCAATCTGGGGACCGGGCTCGATTCAACTATCCATCCTAACTAGATGAGATGAGCGTGGGTGTGGATGTGGGTGTGGATGCGATGCCGCAGTGCGGGGAGAGTGCGCAAAGTGCTTCTGGTCCCATTCGTCCAAGAATGGCTCCGATGCAAGCACCACTGCGGGCTTTTAATACATTTCGGGACATCGGCTAGTGCAATACGAGCAGAGAGGGAGAGAAAAAGCACAAATGGTGATATCGTCTTGTATGGCCATCTGACAAGGTACGTAGCGGTGGACGCTGCTGACATTGCCATGTGGCATGCCAAGCTCAAGGCTGGCTTTGCACAGAGATTTGTTCCGATCTCAGAATCAATAAAGCAAAAAAGTAGACGTTACGCACACGAGGGGCAAGCTGATGAAGAGAGAGAAGAAAAAAAAAGCATCCGCATTGACATTGCAGTCGTCAGCTTGGCTGGCGGTTGGGCGGTCTTGTGACAAAAGGCTGTCGCACTTCATCTATGTGCCATGCGGCTGGTTTGCAAGGGCAATATGGGCAAAAAGAGGCGACCAGGGGCATCTGGATATTGCCGGTACATAGGTAAAAGTAGGTACATACGTACTTGTGTCGGAGGGGGCTCGTACAAGGCAAAGGGCATGCAGATGAAAGGCAGCCTGTCGAGGGCCGGGAGCAGACAAAGTGGCTGGGGGATCCGAGGGCGATGGTGTCTAGTCGGGCGTGGTGTGGCCAGCAGCGATGGAGGGGCAGCCGGCCGTGTTTGGAGTACAGGTTGGAGTACAGAGGCGGGCGTGACAAGTCCAGGTAGTTGTACATGGCGGTTCCCTTAGCGGTCGGTTATTGTTGCCGGTGGCCGAGGTGGGCGCGAGGTTCCGGAGCGGATTGATTTGGAGGGCCGTGGGCTAGGGCGGTAGTGCGTCCCCATTGCGCATGACGCTGCAGCCACGACGCCGTGTGCGAATCATGGAATCTTCTCTGCGTGCGGGCGTGTCGCTAAGTACTTGGTTGGGGTGCAGTGCAGTGCAAAGCTGTGGCTGAAGGCTAGCAGGTCGAGGGTCGCACACCTACTCGGACATGCACACCCACCCACCCGTGGCTTGACTCGTGCCGCCGCCCGAGTTTGGGCGAGGAAACACGGCGAGTGTCAGCAAACACAAGGCCCGCCCCGCACCAGAGGGCGTCGTGGCGGGCGAGCATGGAGTGGTGAAGAGACGGAGGGGCTGGCGGCCATGGGGGTCGCGGTGCCGGCACGAGTGCCGCTCGGCCTGGCACTTGGTGTACAACGTACGCATGCCGGCTGGGAGCGCTGCTGCTGTGTGGTGTGGTGGTGTGGGCGGTGGGCTGTTCCGCAGAGGGTGCGGGGCTCCCGGCAGCACCAAAATAGGCCGGCCTAATCCTGACCACCCACCAGCGCCCACCACGACCGATGCCTACCCGCCATGCCGGATGACAGCGCGGGTGACGCGATGCTCCCTCACATCCGCCCTCTGCCCAAGCCGCACCGCTGCCTCTTTGTTTTTTCCTGCTTGTCAGGCGATGCAAGCCCCGTTGGCAGCCACGCCTCCAATCTCTGCACCAGGCCCCGACGCTGGCTGCGCGCCCGTCTGAGGCATCGCCAGCCGTGGTCTCAAACATGGGCCCCGGCCATGGATGCGAAACAGGTACGCCCGCAACCGACCCTGCCCTGCCTCGCGCGACAGGGCCCGCCTCCCAAATCCCGCCGTCGTTTTTTAAACGCAGAGCCATTTGCTGCCCGCAATCCTGCCACGAGTGACGGCGGACCTGCCCAGCCTTTGCCAGACTCAGCACACTGTGCAGCTTTGGTCAGCAAGCGTTGGACCATGGCGCCGGACAGGTGGATCGAGTCGCCTGGAGCCTGTCTCCGCCCTCGACGCCGCCGGCCTGCACACTACTAATACTCCACCCGCCTCCCAGCGCGGTTGCAAACAGGCCAGAATAAACACCAGCCGGCCTGGCCTGGCCTTGCTCTGCCCTGCGCCTTGCCGTGCTGCTGGTGCTGCTGGTGCTGCTGGTGCTGCAAAAAAAAAAAAAAGTAGATAGGCACTTGGGTGAGTACAAAGCGGGCCGGGGCTGGATTCGGTACCCTGGACAGGCGTAATCGTTCTATGCGCCCTTGTTCGGGACCACCGCCGTCGAGGCATGCGGCGTCCGCTGGCTGGCTGGCTGGTTGGCTGGCGTCCTGGCTGCCGGCCCTCTCGCCGGCACACCACCATCACACCTCACGCTGCTTCCCGCCCAGCTCACCTTTGCTCACATCGCCCGTGTCTGACGACTCTGGAACTTTGTCGTTGTTCTTGTCTGGTTGTTCCCAGCCCTTGGTCCTGCGTGCGTGACGGCCAATCGTTTCATCATCGTACCTTGACCCCCGTGCACGCTCGTTCGCTGGAATCCGCCGCGCTATGACGGCCTAAGCTGTCTGACCTGTCTGACGGTCCTCACGGTCCTCCGAGCAGCGAGCCCTTTGTTCGCTCCTTCGTCCTCTCCGAGCAAACCACCGCCTCATCCAAACACCAGACGCCTTCGTCACCAGGCCTCTGCTCCGAACCCGGCCACCTGCTTGCTCTCTGCTCGGTGCCTGGGTGCTCTCTCCATGCATTGCACTTCCTAGCAACACCCGGGTGCGAGCTTCACACCTCGTTCCACCTCATTTCCAAGCCTGGCTGCCACCCACTCCAACATGGCTGCACAGCTACTTCCCACGGGCGGCATTGCCCTCGTCGGAGCCCCGGATGGCGACATCGCATTCAACGACGCCAGATGCACCCCCGTCCAGGCCATGCAGGTGGACATTACCCAGGACATCATCGACGACCTCCTCGAAAACGCCAGGGGCGGAAAGCAACCACAGATAGTCTTTGGACGCACTCCAGTACGTGTGCACTCACACCCTTTCCGAACCCTCCATGGCGCCTGCACGCTACCTGCCATGGCTCGCCCTTGTCGTCGTGGTCATGGCGGCCTTCGACTCGGGAGAAGAGGGCAAATGCAGCATGACCTAAGCTAACCACAACAACAGCAACTCAAATATGGCGACAAGACACACATGCTGCAGAGCAGCGCCGAACTTCATCGATACGAACTATACAAGTCGAGCGACGATAGCAGCGACGACGGCCAACTCGAATTCGCCGGTTTGATCCACCACAGTCTCACGGTCCACAAGGCGGAAGATGTCACGGCAGGCGTAGACTCAGCGCTGGAGCAGCTGAGGAGCAACATGGCTGCCATCTCCGAGTTCAAGGAAGCCAACAAGTATGCCTCCCCAGTGGCCCTGCGCCTGCTCTTGCCCCTTTGCCTTTTGTCGAGAGACTCGAGCACCCTTGTCGCATGATGCAGCCATGATGCTATGGCAACCATTTGTGCACACCAGGACTAACAATACTTGCTGCAGGACAATTGTCGCCGATGCCACACCAGGACGCACCCCGGCCCATCGTCGCTTCCCTTCGACGGGCTTCAAATCCTCGCACCTTGCGCCTTCACCCCTGTTGACCGCGCCATCGTCGCCCATGCACAAACGCCCACCCACTTCGCAACCCACAAACAGCCACGACGTCGTTGTCAACGCCCTCCGTGTCCCCGTCATTCACCTCCTCGCGCGCGAGCCGGCCACAGAGGCCTCGCTCGCTGCCACGTGCCGCACCTCGTTAGCCAGCATCCGAGATGTGTTGCCCAAGGTTGCGAAACGCTCTACGGCCGAACCCGACAAATGGCAACTCACGGACAAGTCCTTTCGTGAAGTCAACCCCTACAAGTTTCCCTATCAGAGCTCGGAGGAGCGTCAGCAGGCCATTGACGGCGCCATCAAGTCGTTTGATCGCCAACGACTGTCCAAAGATGACAAGCTCTGGCAGATTCTGCTGCCGCAGGACCAACGAGGCCAAGGCATCTGTTTGTCGCGTTCAACAGTGAAAGCGCCTGAGGCGAAGCCGAAAGCAAGCACTCCCATGCACAAGATTTCGGATCTTACCAAAAAGAAGCCTGCAGCTAAGAAGGCGGTCGACAAAACTGCCCCTGAGCGGAAGCCGAGGGCCACAAAGGATGGCGAGACCAAGCAAAAGGCTGCAAAGGAGATTGAGATCAAGCCCAAGTCGTCAATCAAGGAAAAGTACTTGGCGCGCCAGAAGCTAGCGGTGAAGGAAGTGAAGGAGGTGAAGGAGGTGAAAGAGGAACCCACAAAAGCTTCGGCCCCAGCCACGTCTACACCCGTCACCTCGACTTCACGCCCCGCTGCACCTCCTGTCCACAGCACACCCTCGGCAACCGATGCTTCCAAAAGTCGTGCAAAGAAGTCATCCGCTGCAGAAGGCAATACCACGATTCGTGCAAAGCCCAAAATGCCAGTACGCGATGCACAGAGGGACCGCCCTGTTCAGAGGCCCTTCAAGCCCACCATGCCAGTAAACACCAAGCCGAAAAACCCCTCGCCTCTCTCAGCTTCGCCGCCCATCAACGCCAGCGACTTGGACCAGTCACATCCTGCCCACGAGGCTCTCGCAGCATCACCTGCCAAATCTTCTACCAACTCTGACCGCTCACTCAAACGCAAGGCCAACGACATTGACAGCGACATTCACAACCACAACATCGTGACCAAGAAGCCGCAGGTTAGCCGCGCAACTCCGAAACAAACCCCCTCACATGGCAATGGCAAGCCCAATGCCTCTACGCCATCCTCTGCCAGCTCAATTAAACGCAAGTCGGATGACTCATCTGCATCCAACACTCCTTCTACCGCGCCAAAGGTTCGCAAGGTTGCCAACATCGACACTGGCCTTGCCTCGCGCTACCACCACAACAACCCTCGTGCGTCGCCGGGCGCCTCGTCCTCGTCCACCACATCCCCATCCATGCCGAGCCTGAGTTTCCGACAGACTGTCGAGCTTTCCCAAAAGTTCCAGAAGTACTACAAGAAGTACGAAGAGCTGTACTGGGAGCTGACGGAAGCGGAAAAGCCGCCAACGGAGGCCCAGCGAAACGATCTTCTCAAGATGCACAAGAAGCTGGAGGAGATGAAGAGGGAGATTAAGGCGGGTGCTGGGATGCACCACCGATGAAGGAGCGGATCGTGTTATCGCTTATGAAAACTGCATTCAGTACGCACTTGATTTCATTACAGCACAGCTTTGCATATATACCCACGGCCTACCAGTCTGCTAAGAATGGCGGGCAATCTGCATACCCCGAAAAGGTGTTTGGACATGCTTTCTGATTTTGGGTGTTTCTTCCGGGCGTTGCTTGGGTTTACAGATGTTCAAGGGGGTGCATTGGGGATATGGTGTTAATGTTTGGTCATGTTTTGCACGCCTATGTACGTGCGGTTCGCCGACACTTATTCTCAATGTCTATGAACGCGATGATCTTTTTATGCCAGCAGATACACAAAAATGGTTTTTTTTTGTTTCCAAACACGGCATTAGTAGTATAGAATACACGCTCGAATCTTATCAGAAACCTTTTTTTGCAGTCTGCCTCTTTGATGTTTGGTTCGTAAGCTCTCAGAGCTCCATTTGCCCCGTGCATGGCTGTTTGGACGGGAGAATGTGGTCCACCAACACGATCACACACATACACACACCCGGCCTTTCATGCGCTAAGAAAGCTGGCCTAGCGCCGTCCACAATCTTTATCAGAGAACCCGGTGCCGCGCGACCTGCATGAGGAATCATATAATTGTACTCGTGTTTGGAATTAAAAAAAAAATGTGAATGTGAATAAGGGTACCCCTTTCTTGTTCCTCCCCTTCATATCATGCCCCATATAACGAACAATAGCGGAAAAAAATCCAATAAACGCTACTAGTACTTTATAAAAACGCGCGACTATTCATAGTAAAATGTATGTAAGAAAGAGAGGACCCAGGCCCCCCCTCCCCCCTTCCCCAAATGATCGCCTCCATTGCCGATCGCAAGCATCCAGACCAGCAGCCCCAAACCTGCCAAGCCCCACACAGCCCGGGGAGACCCCGGGTGGGGGGGCGTGTGCTCCAAGCAAACTTGGGAAGGGGATCTACGGGGGGGCTTTGCTCCTGCTACTTTGCTATGCAAACACATCATCCCTGCGCAACGTCATCCACTATTTTTTTTTGGGGAGGGGAGAGGGGGCGGCCAGCGACGATGGTTCCTTAGCCCTACCAACCTTGCCTTTTGCTTTACTTTTTTTTTTTTT